ACCAAGTAGCTGTTTCAAGTAGATCTGGATCAACCTGGTGACCACATTTTGGTCACGACCGTAGTCCCTATATTTTCTGCCCGAGCTGCCCTTTGATGAATTGGTGACTGAATCTGGTGACTAGTGTGGTGACCATAGCAAAAGGTCACCATGTGTGACCCACAAAATCCGGTCACCGAACTTTAATTTGGTGACCAACACCCCTTTTGTGATGAGGTTTAGGTGACCAGCCGTGTCACCATTTAGTCACCAAAGGCCAATTTTTGACCTTTGGTGATTGATTTTGCTCAGTGTCACCGAAGACCTTTTTTCTTGTAGTGCCCCTTTTCATCTTTAGTTATATATATATATATATATATATATATATATATATATAGATATATATATATATATATAGAACAATGATAGATATAGTGATTAATTATAGTGAAAAAGTATAGTGACTAATGAAAAGCCAAATACACCATCCTCATTAAATTTGTGTACTTATTAATTAAGGGTAAAAATATAATTTTTAGAAAAAGAAAAAATTTTAACTGGAAAGTGACAAAAAACTAAGGGCCAAGAATACTCCACATCACTCGCTATTTTTTTCACTATTGTTTTTCACTAATACTCCACATCACTCACTATATGTTCCAATTTTTGTTAGCATGATCCAAATTGACAAATGATTTTCTGTGAAAATTTTGGGTTACATTTTGTAACATTATTTAAATTTTTGACATGTGTCTAATTATGTCAAAATTATCTGTAAATGGGTCTACTCATTTACTACTACCTCCGTCCCAAAAAAAAGTCCATATTGAGTTTTGAAATTTGTATTGTTTTTAGTACAAATTTCAAAACTCTAATTGGACTATTTTTCTGGGACAGGACAGTATTTGATTAAAGTATATATATCAATGATAATTATATGTGTCAATTATGTAACTAGGATCATTTCCAATATAATATGAAAATATGATAGAACACCATGGCCTAATGACAAAACTAACGAGATCATGGACGGACTTTCGGATTAAATTAGAATATAAAATGTATGGATATGATTTACCTGTTGTCATCAACCACCACGGCTAAAGGCATTAATTGTACCGATATGACGTCTCCATCCACGTTTTTCAACCAATCAAAAGTCCTTTGCCGCAGATTTGCCAATGGACACATATATGGTGGATGTGAGGTGGGGATCATGATTCAAGAGGCTTTTTTTACACATTCTTCCGTCTCAAAATAATTATACGATTTAAAATTTTTATTTTCAACATTTCCCTTACATATTGGTCAAATCACGATTCATGACTTTATCGAATCATTGTTTTTTTCCTGTCTAGTTTGATTTAAATTTTTCATTTTTAGTATTATATTGAAAATGAGAAATATAAAGAGGATAAGTGGAAATAAAAATCTAAACTGGATTTTGATGAATTTTGTTTGACATTATAAGGACGAGTGAAGTTTTATTTATTAACCTCGCAGGATTAATTATTGCATTGGACTAGTGTTTTTGCAAACTATACGTGACTTGATAGAGATTTTACGGTTTTCACTTGGAAGCAATGTTTGTGATTGTTAAAATTTTGAGAATCATAAAATCTAAAATATTTCCTTTACCTTCTGATCTACCATATTTTCGATTCAATCTATCGTCGGACTAAAATATCCGAATTTGTGTATTATTAGATCACATGGAGAGTTAAATGTAGAACAAGAGACAAGTCTCTTGGTACTGAAATTCTCCAAGTCTAAGATATGAAAGACAGGATGTACGTTAACGATTCCTGTCAATAGAGTTTCAATGGAAAATTATCGATATTTATATTAATCAGTATTATATATTTGTTGAAACTTCAGAAGATAATTTTAAAGGGTTTTTATAACATATGCATCGTATTGATTGTGACAATATCTGATTCTCTGTTTCATAATGGAAGTAACTATTGAAGCATGGTTTGCCAGCGCTAGGTCTAGGGGGTTTTTTCTATTCCCACGTGAAAATTAGCTGGAGACCATTTCGGGTGGGTGGGGTGTGGGGGGCGGGGTTTGGGTACCAGAATTTCGAGATAATTAATTCTAAGCATTCATATTAATCACGCTCAGACTCGATTTATATATATATATATATATATATATATATATATATATATATATTAGTGATGTCAGTGCATGATACGCGACTACGATCCAATATATATATATATATATATATATATCTTAGAGATGTTTATATCCGGAAAAAAAAATATTTTGTATTTGGTAAGATATATTTTAGAAATGTTTGAAAAATTTAGAAATTTTTTATAAATGTGATCATAGAAATGTTTGTATTTGGCATAAAAAGAAATTTATTTAGCCTGGTACGTTTTAGAAATGTTTGAAGATTTTACAAATGTTTTATAAGTGTTACTTCTTAAATATAAATAAACTTGATCAAATATATGTCTTAAAGTAAATGCTAGACAAAATATAAAAGCATCCTAATAAGTTTAAATATTAGTAAGATGATTTATTGATGTTCTCCATTGGTTGTGCCATATCAATACTTAGTTTTGGAGATTTATAATAGTTTTATAATAAACTTCCTCCAAAGAGTATACGCTTAATTGTTAGAACTATTTCTTCCAAAAGTTTATAGGTAGTAAAATATTAAAAATATGATTTTGAAACTGGTTAATTGTTGAAACTGGTCGATCATAAATACGAGAATGAAAATAATATAAATTTGCATAGATTTCAAGGTATAGCAAAAAAGAACTCACCTCACTATGGCAAATAAAAAAAAAGAAAGTAAAAGATAGTCCAATAAAAATTGAGAAATTTATTTTTTTCTGTAGGTAAAAATGATGTATAAAAACACAAATAAACGTAGAAACATCATTCCTTCCCTCTCCACTTCAATTTCATAAAATGCTTCCCCATAAATTAATTAGAAGAAGCGACCTAAACTATTTATATGATGAGGAAACAAAACAAGTCCAAAAACCAAATTCAAAAAAGTATATTATTGAAAGCCCGAACACAAAAAAAATAAATAAATAACGCGCTTCATTTGCAAATAAAAAAAAAAATAATAATAATAATTGGTCAATTGGAAGTATGAAACAAAATCAAAAGCAATTAAACAAAAAAAAAACACACTTCATAACTGACCATATACGAAAAAAAAATTGAGACTCCATAATTAAAAAAAGAAAATCACTCTAATTGAATGAAACATAAAATTTTTTTTTAAAAAACTACACTTTGTAACAAAAACCCAATTAATCAATTCAATCCAAACAGAACTAAAATCATACAAAAATTATTGGTTAACTAACCATATGAGAAATCATATCATATTGCCTGACAACGGCTATGGTAGCTGTAACGGATGGACGAGTAAAAATAATAGTAATAACACTATTTTTGAACGGGGAAAACAAAAAATTATAAAAGTCAAACAAATAAACTGTGGAAATAAAATCATTTAAATTTTAATACCTGTAATAGCACCACCACAACGGCTGAAGCAAGATCAATAAGAATTATTTTTTTTTTCCTTTGTGTTTATATGGAGAGGTAAAGAGAATTTTTTTTAAGTCGAGATTTTATCCGATTAGGATGTAGTTGATCATCACTAATGAAAAGATTGAACATACTAATAGGAAAGGATTATATATCACCACATAGTCTCAATTGATTAATTATGAGGAATTTATTTATTTATTTTTATTGTGGAGAAGGGATTGATTAAGAAGTCAATTGTCGTGGAGATGGGGATGAGGATTTGAGTTTTTTTATGAACCTGTGGTTTTTTTTTTTTTTTGATTTTGACCAAAATAGGAGGTAGGGGTGGATTTGGACTGCATTTGCCTTTTGAAGTCTAGGAGATGTGTAAATAAAAATATAATGTGGAAATGTCACATGGCAAATAGTGGTGCTTTCTCTCAAGTGTGGTTTTTGTTTCTAATATAGTAAGATATATATATTTTAATGTAGGAGTCACAACCTGAAACGCTAAATTTAACACCAATACAGGGAATATGTCACCCGCAGTATAACATTTTGAAACCAATATTTTGCACTCCCGAAAGGCGATGTAAGCCTCAGGCCCAAATGCTACAAGAGAAGTGAGAAGAAGCTAAGAGGTACTTTATAATACTAATATTTTATATGCTAGCTCTAAAATGATTTTATAGTTTAGATTTTTACATTTAATTATATTTAAATAAAATACAAATTCAAATGGGACAAACGTTTCGGCCAAACTGAATATTGAAAAAGGGTTGTGACGGCACTAGGTGCGGTAAGTTGTGAAGAGGAATAATTAGGATCAATTATGTTGAAAACATTATGATGCGACGAATATAAACTTGTATCGAATTAAAAAGTTTTCAATGTTGAGGCCCCCCGTGTTGGGATGATTTTCGTAATCACAAGGTAATTTTGCCAATGATGTATATAGTACTATTGGAAGGGGGAAAAACAAATTTGGCCCAACAACATTCTTAGAATTGTAGAGCTAACAATTACAACACCAAGGGAAAAAAAAAACTCTCCTGTGAAAACTAAAGAGAGTTGTTGTGTGTGTGTGTGTGTGTGTGCAGTAGGCCTAATTTGGTTGGGTTGTCTTTGATCCCCGTATGATCAATGAGACAACAAGAACTGAATGCTCGTTAATCATTTGCAGGATTATGGAAACAATATTTATCTTAATTATCTGTACCCTTGCACTAATAAAACATCCAAACTGATAGATGAGGGGATAAAGGATAGGTTTTCTGTTGGTGAACGACAAAAAGAGGAAACTGGGGGAACCGGAAAGAGCAAGCTGGAATTGGCCATCTTTTGTAATGAACCATTCGACAGACAACACGTTGCCAAATAATGACCGGTAATTGGGTGCAAACAGGACAACAAAAGGTTGATCCCCTCTTAGTATAAAAGCACATTCTTCCCATAATTTGGAACGTGAAGCTAATCTCCCTTCCAAATTAGTTCTAACCAAAATTTAGATAATGGCTGCCACTTTCTCAGTCTCTCAGACATCTTCCATTGCATTAAACTTGAAGAAATATGGATCTCCACTTTCCAAATCCCTCCCAAAACCCTACATTGAGTCCTTCCAACTTCAAAACACCAAGAAAAGTCCTCCTCCTCCTCCTAAGAATTTTCCTCAAACTAAAACTGTACCGGGCTCCTCATTTAATTTCAACAAGTCGTCCTTTTTGTCGCGGATTAACACTCTCAATAAACCTCCAAAAGTCTCAGCATCCACTGAAACTGTAGTGGAGGAGAAACTTGTAGAGGCAGACAAACTCGCGGTTTCTTTGATTCGCTTATTGCCGGAGAAAATCCAGCCATACGCTTACCTAGCTCGGTTGCACCGGCCAATCGGGGCGGTTTTAATCGCGTGGCCATGCATTTGGGCAATAGCTCTGGCAGCGGAACCTGGATCCTTGCCGGATTGGAAGATGGTGGCTTTATTCTCCTTGGTGGCTTTCTGGACCAAAAATATTGCCTGCACCATTAATGATTATTTCGATAAGGATTTTGATTCACAGGTGAAGATCTCACGCTACCTTCTCTCTCTCTAATTTTTTTTTTTGGCACAATGAAGGAGACTAATGCCCTAAAAGTATTAGAACAATAAACAATTATATTTTTTAAAACTATCATATTTTCTCTAAATTTTTTAAATATTGATGATAATTAACATTTCGGTTTCGGTTTCGTTCTTCGTTTTGCGAAAATCCGGAATTATTTTCTCATTATCGAGAAATTTAGTTAATTAATCTAGAGGTAAAAGGTTCACTCACATGAATTCTGCATATGTACATGAATTTGAGGAAATATATCCTTCCAAAGTTAACATTCTTCTAGCTCCATAAAATTAAAATGAATTCACGGCATAAAGGTCATGGACTCATGGCCACATAATTCATACATCAGTTGCCTCGTTGCCCGACCTAAAAAAGAAAATACACGTGGATAGGTTACGTTTGACACTTTCATGTAAATAAGACGTGAAGGTGTTCGATCCGCCCTAAGAGAAATTTTAAATTATTGTATTATAATAATTCAACAAAGTAAAATACTACTATCTTTTTGGAACATAAAAAAAATACATCCTCTATTATGTTTTCAATTTAAGATTATTTCGTATCTGTAGGTTATGAAGCCATCAGGGAACTTGAATCAAAGTCAAAATTTTAGCTGTAGAACTACAAATATCATTAAATTAACACAAAAGCTTGTTTTTTTTTCGTTGAAAATGTCAAAAATGTAGTTGAGATACAGAATATGTTAATTAAAAAATTGTAAAATACACAGTAACAATAAAAAAAGATATCCAAACAAGCTGACTCAATAAATATCGGGCCAAACGCCACTAGTTGAAATTACAATTTTGTTTGCTGTAAGAACCAATAATAATTTGCAAGGAATTAATGCACTCATGTTAGAGTTTCTTGACTCTTGAATGTCTTATATTTATATTTAGCGTTCCTGTAGGACTCCAATTCAACGCAAAAGAAAAAACGGAATTAAAAAAATGACAATTATGGAGAGAGCGAAAGTGATACAAAAACTCATTTCAAAAACAATAAAAAGCCAAAAAGAAAAGGGAAAATATGTACTTTGAAATGGTGAGCATTTGAGACAGAGACACAACGTAGAATAATGTTATGTAAACGGAATACTAACACCGTCTAAAAATTTCAAAGTGATTACTTGATATATATATATATATATATATATATATATATATACACATTTGTAATCATTAGATAACTTATACATAGAAATTGGGATTGTTATGCATAAATCTGTACATATACATTTTATTATTCCTCATGGACAGTGTAAGTTGTGACCTAAATTTTTACCAAAATTAATACTCCTTTTGTACACAATAATTATAAGGATAATGATACATACAAAAAACAAATTTACAAGAAAAAGAGAATGATTGACCTGAATCAAATCTAAATCTTATATCTTTACACTTTTTTTGTTTAGAATTAACTGTGTTTAAAATTTGAAGGAAAGTTTAGATTAAGCCATATAAGTTTTTGGATATATATATATATATATATATATTTGTAATCTTTCTCTGTATAGTGTATATGCCATTGCACTTATTATAGTTGTCATGTTTATCATAGCTTTTGAATAATCACAATGTGAAAAAGACAGACTAGAAACATATAAGTTTTTTTTTCCGCCCTTTAAAAAACACAGGTTGAGCGAACAAAAGGAAGGCCTATTGCGTCTGGGGCTATTACAGGACTTCAAGCACTTATTTTCCTTGGTATTCAATTGGTACTCGGTTTTGCCTTTCTTCAGCCAGTAAACCAACTAAGGTTCATTATATTTCCGAGCTTGTTTCTTAATTAGTTTTATACTATCTCTCCATAAAAAAAAAAGTCCATATTGAGTTTTAAAATTTGTATTAAAAATAATGCAATACTCAAAACTCAATATAAATTATTTTTTTGAGATAAAGGCAGTATATTTTATTTTTATATGACCGTTTCTTCTTTTATTGTGATATATTATATATATATATATATTTTTCGGTGGTTTTGACTTTGCAGCCGTTTATTATGGGTTTCTTGGTTGCCATTGATATTTACATACCCACTCATGAAAAGAGTAACCTTCTGGGTAAACCCCTCAATGATTTATTTTACATTCACAAAACTTTTGTTTTAGTCTCAAAGTTAAGATAAAGTAGATTAATGCTAAACTATTGAAGTGTTTGGTTTTACTCATAATGTTTGAACGGGAGTTTGATTTCAGTTCAAAACTGTTTTCAAATGTATTTTATTCATTAAAAGGTACTTTTAGTGACGCTAATAGCAATACTTTTTTTTTTCGTTAATGGCACATTTGAATTAAAACCAAACTGTTATTCAAACATTAAAACAAAAACCAAAATCTTCAATAGTTTAGAATTAATTTATTGCATTTTCCCAAATCTTGAGACTAAAATGCAAGTTTCTCCTTTTCTTAGTGTATTTTTTTTCTATTAAAATTAGTGATGGTGTTTTGTGTTTATTAAATTGCATTCATTTTGTTAGCCTCAAGCCCATCTTGGATTTAGTGCCAACTGGGGAGTTTTGTGTTCTTGGGCGGCTATTAGAGGATCTCTTCAACCTGCAATTGTCTTCCCACTCCTCATTGGTTGCTTCTTCTGGATGCTTATTATTGATACAATTTATGCCCATGAGGTAACACGATTTTTCGTTTTTTCTTTTTCTTTTTGGCCACTTGAAGTTTCTGTTTGTTGTATTTCAAGACACTCTCTTCGTCTTAAAATAAATATCATTAAATAATTAAAAAAAAATTAAGAAGCAGTTAATTTCAACATTTAAATTGTGTCGTCAATATTTTTTCTTTTCGGGATAATAATTATGAATTTTTGACAAAAATGCTTTGAAAGTATTGGACGAAATGTGTTCAGGCATTTTTCCACTTTTATTATCCAACTACACTTACGTTTAGAAGGAAATGAGTGATATAATTCAACATCTGTGCAATTTTAGAATATTTCTTTAAAATGTATTTATTTCAATGAAACGTCATGCAACCATGCAGGATAAAACAGATGATGTGAAAGCGGGAGTCAAATCTACAGCATTGTTTTTAGGGGATTCAACAAAGCTCTGGAATATTGTCTTTGGAGTTGCATCAATTGCTAGTTTTGCACTAAGTGGATTCAATGCTAATATTGGTATCTAACTATCTATCAATTTAAATAATTTGCTGATTAGGTACGGTTCAAAAATAAATATCATCTAAGTTCGAACTCGAATCATAACTAAGCTCACTTATTTTATCGATGCGTTCTCTAATGATCTTTGTCTCCAAATTTTTATTTGTTTTCCGATGTGGTGGTTTGAATAGGATGGCCGTTTTACGCACTTATGCTTCCTGCTGCCGCTCAATTCGCTTGGCAAATTTGGACGGTTGATTTAGACAACCCAGCAGATTGTGACAGAAAGTGGGTCTCCCATGCCATATATATTCCACACACATTTTGGTTTCAATACATTTTAATTACTTTTTGCAAATAATACTTTTTCCCCTTGTAGGTTCCGATCAAATGAATATTTTGGAGCCATTGTCTTCATTGCCATTTTATTCGGAAAGTTATTTTCCTAGAGGTCCTTACTAAACTCAACGTTTTATTTTATTTTTTTCTAATCCAAAAATCGATAATCTTGATGATCTCCTACTAACGTCTTCTTTTCGGGCAGGTGCGAATTGCGGCAAACAACATCACACTCAAATTCTTCATCTCCGTGCTCATAGATACTTTCTTATCTTAAAATAATCATCTACTGTGTTAAATAATTATTCTTGGATTATTTTGTTAATAATCTTGTACTTGTAAGATGTTATTCTGTATACGCATTGAATTGTATTCTTTATTTGTTTTTTTTTTTTTGGGTATATGATGTACTAAGTACCTAAAATTATTGCTCAAATTTATTTGGATTTGAGATCGAAAGGTTTCTTTCAGAAACTAAAAACTCTCTAAATAAATATGTCTCAAAATCATTAGTATATGTACCATGTCTGCTGGAAACAGTAGATTATTCGTTTCTACAGTAGTGAAATGTGAACTTCCTTTCTTATCATATAAAATCGATGCCTCATTACTGATTATAACTTAGAATTTAATCTTTCTTAGCATAAACAATCAATTTCTAATGGATGATCATAAATTATACTTTATTTGTGTACTAGGCTCATAGTTTCTGACCTAAGTATATTCCCAAGAACTTATATTTATATAAAGCCGAAGAACAGGTTGCCGAATGATCATCCCTTTTATCCTATTAAAGCAGAAAACATGATGTTGATGTGGCAATTTCTTATTAAAATATTTTGGTTCCAAATGCACCATATTGCATAAACCATTCTGCCACGTGTCACTCACTTTTAAAACAAAAAATATATTTACAATATTAACGAAGAGATCAGATGGCCATGTTCATTTTGAATTTGACAGTAAATGGAACTTTCCTTTTCCACTTATTTAGGACTTTCAAAAAAATTAATTTTCGGTCAATCAATTATCTTCATAAAAAACTGAATTCATTCCTAATTAATTTTAATTATTTACATATTAATTTATTAGGTGGGAGGACGCCCTCGGACATTTGCCCGAGGCAAGTTATTAGTTAAATGAAAATTCAGTCGGACAAACTTCTAAACTTAATATTCCACCCATTTCCCAGTAGCAAGAATCACCAACTTTTTGCTATCGTTTCCCCCCTTTTTTCTGGAATTAATTAGGTGTTACTGACACCAACCCATTTTTTTTTTTAATTTTTGAAAAAAAAAAAAATCAAATATTCAAACTTGTTCTTTTAGTATCTAACAAACGTTTAGGGAACTCAGTATGAGTACATTGAAATAAGGATAATGATATCTACAGTGAAAAGAAATAATGAAAAGAAAAATAGTGAGTGATGTGGAGTATTCTCAGTTCTAGTTTTTTGTTACTTTCTCATTTAACTTTTATTTTACTTTTAAAATTACTCTTTTACCCTTAATTAATAAGTACACATATTTAATGAGAATGATATATTTGTCTTTTCATTAGTTACTATTCCATTTCACTATAATTTGTCAATGTATCTATCATTGCTCTCGAAATAACATAATTAAAAATCATTACAAAAAATAAAAAACAAAACAAACATATCGTATCGCTTATTTTTTTTTTTCCGCTCTTTTGGTACAAGTAGTATCGCTTATTCAATTGTACAAATTTCCATCTCACTTATTAATCAGATTTGCTCAAGGAGATGCATCATTTCAAGTCGGGGTCGGCAATTCGCGATCAAAGGTTGAACTTTGAACAATGCCAATCCCAAATCCTCCGTCATATCAACCATTTCCTTCCCAACTCTCTCCCAATCAAAGCATTGGATGATTGAACCCAATGCAAATCCAACCATACGCATTGCCAAACCTTCAGCCGGGCAACCCCTCCTTCCAGAACCAAAAGGCATCCATTTGTAACCATAATCTTTTGAAACTTCATTAATGCCTTCAAACCTTTCGGGTTTGAACTTTCTCGGATCCGCCCAAATCTTGGGATCATTCTGGATCGCCCACAGATTCACGATCAACATCGTTCCTTGGGGTACCCGGTAACCTCCTACCACACATTCCTGTGAGGATTGGTGGGGAAACAGTGGGGTTACCGGATACATCCTCAGGGTTTCGTGCACTATGCAACGTAGAAAAGGTAGATTAATCACATCCGATTCATCCACGAAACGGTTTTTCCTACCACGTTATCGATTTCTTCCCGGGCTCTCTTCAAATATGATGGATTGTTTAGTAACAGTGACAATGCCCACTCCATTGCTCCAGCTGAAGAATCTGTACCTGCACCTAATAAAGCCTGCAACTCCATTGTTCATGCATAAAAGTGAGGTTTTGCTTGTAAACTCAAATTAGCTTTAGGGTTTTTTGTTTTTCTTTTTAATTTTTGGGTTGAAACAAAAAAAAAAAAAAAAAAGGAGAGAGAAAGAGAGAAAACCAACGTACCCAAACAAAATATAGTGTTTGATTTTAGTGTTATTAAGATTTAAACAAATATATGATTTTAGTCCCAAAATGTCACTAAAATCTCTTATTGTCACTAAAAGATACTTTTTGTAGTTTTATTTTGAAGACAATTATTTTAATTTCATGGACAAATATTCTCTTCATTTCGGAATAAGGTCTTGTTTTGAGAAGATAAGTCGCCCAAATGTAAGCTGTTTCAAAGTTTTCGTGATTTTAGATTTTGAGAGAAAATTTTAATCAAATCAAATTACCACAATCGGTTGCTGGTTTCTACGCTAATTTTGAGCTACTCCAAACATCATAACAGTTAATAATAATCCCTCCGATCTTTATAATACGTTATTTTGATTTTATCTTAGATTTCATCTAGGATATATTTTTAATTGGAAAAAAAATCTTAAACATATATTTTTACAACTTCATTATTAGGATATGTTTTTAAGGTTTTAATTTTAATTAAAAAGGTATCTTAGGTGAAATTTAGAACAAACCTAAGATAAATCAAAATGCCTTATAATTAGGACCGGAGGGAGTACTAACAAATAAACAAGATTCCAATTCCTTCCGGCGCTCATATTCTTGCTTTCCGGACAACTAAAGGTAAGATTAAGGTAAAGAGAGGTTTGGGTTTGGATGATTTTTGCTTGCTTGAAATAACTTTAAAAGACAATTACCAATTAGTAATCAGGTGAAGAACATACCAACATGAGGCTTTTGATGATTTCATCGGTGTAAAGTTGGGGCTCTTCCTCTTGCAAAGCCAACATTACCTCAATGAAATTCCGCTGCTTTTCCCGGCCGTTGTTCTTGGCATCATCACCGGTACTCATCTCATGACTTTTGATCTTAACTTCTTCGATCAAATCTTGCATAAATCCATCTCTCATTTCTCGAAGAGCCCTCAATCTACTATCCAGTTTATCCAATTTCAACCTCCTCAAAACCGGCAAAAAGTCCGCCAGGTTCGATGCCCCGGCGATCCTGATTGTCTCCTCCATAATCTCCCGGAATCTCTTCACCTGCTCCTCTTCGACGACTTCACCGTAATACCTTTTCCCGGAAATCATCCTCATCATAACGTTCAACATCATCTCGAAAAACACGGTGTTGGCTTCCACGCTTCTATTCGCGCGCGAGGCCAAATAAAACCTTCTCAGCATCATCCTTACTTCGTCGGCGCGTATCCCTTGAAGCATTTGAAGCCTGCGGGAAGAAAGAAGCTCCAAAGAAGATATCTTCCTCAGGTTCCTCCACCGTTCCCCGTACGGTAACCACACTATCGACGTGTAATCGTAACCGAGGTATTTCCCCGCCAGCAAATCCGGCCGGTTCGCGAAATTCACGTCGTGTTTGCCAAGACATTCCTCCACCGCGGAAGGGGAGGAAATCAGGAGGACCGGACGGGAGCCGAAATCGAGGAGGAGAACCGGGCCGTAACGGTCGGAGATGTGGGCTAGGCTTCTTAGAATGGGTTTCTTGAGAAGGTAAAGGTGACCGAGAACCGGGAAATTGAGGATTGGGGTGGGCGGGAGATTTCGAATTTTGCCGAGGAAATGCTTGGTGATCATGTACAGAGCTAGGAAAAGTGGAAGGTACAAGTAGAAGATTTCCATATTTGGAGGATATGGAAGAAACTCCTTGGAGAACTAAGGGATAATTATCCCTCCTCACTTATGTAGAGTTTTCTCTGCAAAATTACCTCAACTGATCTCGAGGGCCCCCAAAGTTTGAGAAAAAAGATATATATATATATATATTATATATATATATATATATATATATATTGGTTTAAAAAAAGATCCATTAGGCCAAAACATTAACAATGTAGTTATGCACACGACTTCTCCATTGGGCCAAAAGATGTCGCAATCACATTCAGATGGCGTACGATCTGTCTTGACTAAATTTCTAGTATACTCCAGTCTTACGGTATTGTTTTAATATTTACGAGATCTTAAGGATGCTGGATCGATATGGGGGTTTTATGATTAATCGGGAGTACGTTCAACATGATTCAACTTTAATTTTTTGTATCACCAAAAGTAATTATTACAATGTTCATCAGAAAACTTTTATCTTCTAAATAAGTAGGAATTAGTGATTGTGCTGTGCACATTTACAAATTATTTTAGAATTTTATAAGTAACCCTAACCTTCCGATTTGAAAAATAAAGAACTAACAAAGCCATTTCACACACCATTTCTTTTATTGTGATATGGCCCGTTACAAATCTAATCCTGGGCCATCACCCATTGAGGCATCGCCATACGTTCCTTACATAAACATTCATTAATCAAAAATTCGTTTTTAAGAAGATATCTAATTTACTACAAATTTCAACATATAAGAACAAATTTTATACTTTACTTTTACGTTCAAATTATAAGTTTGAAAATATGTAAATGAAAGTATTGAACAAAAAATTTCAACTTTACTGTTTCCTGGCGAAAATGCAAATACATATCGAAGAAAGCAAATATTTCCAATCTTAGGCTTTCACTTTCTCTCACGTCTAGTTTATCAACTACTTGAGAATTCATTCTCCTCGCCATTCTTTAATTCTGTCTCCAGCAGCAGAACCCTGCAGATAAGTAATAGAAAAGATATGAACTAGCTTATTAACCAGCCGAAAAGTGAAACTTATTTACCTTTTTTTTCACAAACTATAATGTGATATGGAATAAAAAAAGATTCATTGTACATAACATTTTTTTGCTTCTGTTTTTTAAAAACATTTTTGCTATATATATATATATTAAATTAGGGCAGGTTGATTAAATTGAATTCATGTAATGCAAGAAAATTAAAAGAACCTCCTTCTCCCAATTTGTGTTGTATATCATCCAGAACAGAACCAAGGTTTGAACTGTCGTCCCAAATAACATCCCATACCAAATGCCCTAAAATTAAGCAGAAATATAAAATTTTAACTAGAATTGTGAATGAGCTCTATCAAATATCAATTGCAAACAGAGAAAAAAATAAACATGTACTAGTTTAATAGGAGCGCTATATATATATATATATATATATATATATATATATATATTTTTTTCTTACATGGACACCCATTTTCAATGAGTAACCTAAGATTAGACCAACTGGAATTCCCACTACGTAATACTCCCTCCGTCCCAGAAAAATAGTCCAATTTAATAAAAAAACTTTGTCCCAAAAAATAGTCCAGTTTCACAAAAGTCAAAATTAATTGAATTAAAATGACTTAAATATCCAAAAGAATAGTGGTAAGGAAAACAAGATTCACTTGCTTTTATTTTCATTTTTTTTAGTTTTCTCTCATTTTTTCAAATGATTATATCTTTTAATACATGAATAATTGAAAAATGTGTTATATATCAAATTAATGTACATAACGAGATCTTTCCATCAAGATCCATCGTTAATATTTTTTTAGATAAAAATTTCCATCAAATTTAAGTTGTAAAATAAATGCATATATAGTTAACTTTTATAGAAATAACTATAAAGGGCATTAGTGGAAGTTAGAGGTATAAAATGAGTTGTACATTTGGTGTGTTGACCGCCATTTTGGACGCCCTCTCTATCTAGATGCTTGGCCCGGGCAGATGTCCAGGCGCCGCTCTACTTTAATTTTGTGTTAATAGATAAATGAATTCTTGAATTGTAAAAAATAAAATAGCTACACATTTGGTTTTTTCCCCTTTTTTAGCCAAAAATAAAAATAAAAATAAAAAATAATCTGCCAAAGGAAAAAAAATATAAAAAAGTACAACGATGCAAAAATCATACAAAAGAATATGGAGTAATAAAAGAGATAAGTTTATGGGTAAATTTAAATGCTATTTTAATTTGATTGATAAATGATAAATGTTAGGAGTTAAAATTGTGTAGTTATTTTTGTAAAGTAGCTTTTGTTTCTCCGGATAAGAATTTTTTTTTCTTTTAAAAAAAGATGACACGTGGCAGAATGGTTAATGCAATATGGTGCATTTGGAGCCAAAAATTTTTAATAAGAAATTGCCACACATTCTGTTTTAATAGGGTAAAAGGGATATATATTTTTGGTGTTTGGTGCAAAACTCATTCATTACGTATATACCTTATAGCTGCATTAAATCCCATTGCCACCATGAGTGTCCACTCCACTATGTTCATGCTGCAGTAACATTACAAATAATATAATGCAGATTAATAATTCCTCAAGTCAGGAATCTAACTGACATTGAAATTGAAATGATGGTAAAACATAAATGCAAGAAACATAATACTAGTTTCTATGTCCTCCAAAAATGATCAACATGGAGAAAAGTAATAAAAAAGGTTAATTAAATTAGTTCAAATTATGAACGAACTTTTGGGGCTTTTTCCCAAAAAAAATTAAATAAAATAAACGTGGACAAAATTAAATTTTTCAGAATATCTGTGGACAGAAATATATCGCTCGGATTTCTGAAATCCGAGTGTTGATTAATATTAGAGATTCGGATTTTGTAAATCCGAATCCATACTTAATAATAAAATAATAATTTCATAAATTTTGTTGAATAATAGTTTTTTTGTTCTTTAGTGAATAGTAAAGCTCGGATTTGTAGAATCCGAGTTTAGTTAAAAATTAATAAATCGCGGCGCGAAATTTTTGAACCCAAAAAACCGGAAGTCCGTAATCCGGTTTGACGAATTCGGATTTTAGAAATCCGGATGCCTTTAATTTTGGTTGGTGGAAGTAGGCATGTGCCTTAAATTGGAGGACCAACAAATTAATAAAATAATCCTGAATTGACTAAACTCGGATTTATGAAATCCGAATCTAACTGATTCGGATTTGAAAATCCGAGTTACTTACGGACTCGGATTTCGTAAATCCGAGTTTAACGTGCTATAAAGAAAAAAATTTCAGGCGGTTCTCATTCGAAACCGAGTTGGATTTTCTGTTTTTGCGGCTCAAACAAGGGCGAATTGAAGTTTTGATGCATTCTTGCCTCTAGATACGTGGAAATCGTTATTTGAAAGAGGTTAGATTGCAAAACCATGTTATTTAGTTTATTTTTGTGTTATTTTGATTGTTAGAATGATGTATGATAGATTAGGGTTTATGTTGGTTGGTTGTTTGGATGTTTTAGGTGTTGATTTTGAGGTTAGAGATGAGAAATCATAGTTGTTCATGAGATATCGAAGTTGATTTATAAGTATTTTAGTATGGTGTATTTGTTGGAGTATGTATGGTGTATGGTGTATTTTAGAGAATGTATGGTGTATTTTGTTGATTTTGTTATTAAGAAATGATTAGTTATTGATGTTTTTTTAACGATTATCAATGGCACGTAATGTATCATACATGCTTAATTTGTATCATACAAGTAAGTATGTGATAGAGAACAGTAGCATCAACACTTTTCGAATATGCCGGATGATGGTTTGTTTGTCGAAGAAAGGTTGTCATATGAGGGATTGATTAGTAAGATTTGTATGACCCTTGGTTGGGATGCGGCACACGTGAAACTCCACCTTTCTTTGATTTTCGATAGTCCGGTGGTAGGCGTGTAGTGAAGATCAAGAATGATTCGCATGTAGAGTTCATGAACCGTGTAGATCCAATGTCATGTTTGGATTTATACATAGATTTGGAAGATATCACTCAAGAAGAAGAGAAGCGAGTTTGGAAAACGTGTCATTTGTTGATTTTCGAAGGGGGAACGTGCTAGTACTTCTCGAAACCGTGATGAAGAGGAGACACCTTTATTTGCACAAAATGACTACGGGAAGAGTTGGATTCCGACTACATAGCTCCAGTGAAAGCGAAGAAGACTATGATGTCTCGGAGAGAGTGATTTTGAAGAAAGTGATGATGAAAGGTTGGAAAATGAGGAAAGAGATTGTAATCTATTCGCCGACGCCATGTATATAGTAAGATGGGAAGCTGGGATGCCTCGTGTGTAGACAAGGATGAGTTTGCTCTTAAGATGTGGGATGAGACGCCGAAGGAATGGACATTGGTGTTTGTTTCAAATCTCAATCGAAGCAAAGCATCTTTGTGAAATTATGGAATATCCATCATAAAAGGGAATATACGGTCGCCGCGAGTAGTCCAGGACGTGGGGCATGCGGTGCGGAACATTTAATGTGGAAAGTGAGGATGGTGAACCACCATGTGAGTGGAAGATGCGTGTGTCATTGAAAGCTCACGGCCTTCATGAAATTGTGAGATGGCATGATGCACATAATTGCATGACTCCTGTGAATGATAATGACAATCGGTGTGTCGACGCGTCTTTGATTGCTAGACTCATCAGGAGAAAGGTTGAGGACAACGTAGATTATACGGTAGCCTCGGCACAGAAAGATGTGAAGACCTTATTGAAAGTAGATGTGCCATACAAAGGGCGTGGCACGGGAGGAGGAAAGCCATAGAAGCGGTTTATGGTGATTGGACCTCCATTTGAAGAACTTCCACGGTAAATATCAACTTTTATCCGTGTATTGAAATATTTATAGTATTTTTATTTCTACATGTATTGAAATATTTTAACAATGACTTGTTATTGTTTAGGTATATCGCTGCACTTAAGTTTACTAATCCTGAGACTGTAGTAGAGTGGGAATGGAAGGAGGGACAAGAAGGTTGGAACAGGGGAAACCGGACATTTAAATACGTCTTCTGGTCATTTGCACCGGTGGCTGAGACGTTTTTTGAATGTCCACCGGTCATTTGTATCGATG